CCTGTACTTTAAGTCTCTAGAACTGAGTAAAAATCTCGTTGCTAGGCAGGGTAATGCAAGCAGTTTTCTAATGTATTTGTGCATACCATTATCCTCAATGCACAGTGCTTGCAGACCAAGTTCTTGCATCTGACAAAAATATGAGCCAAAAAATTTTAGTCTTTTCATTGATGGAGAGCATGACTACTATCTCTAACTAAAAAAGGTTTGTAAACATACCACTTGAAAAATAAACAAATGGGAAGTTTGTTTGGACTAAGCATCTTGCCCTATTACAAAGATAAACCATGCATGAACTCGCCTCTGAGGTTGGCCAATTGTAGTGTTCATTTGGATGCCATTGTTAGCAAATTGCATATTGCTCATATAGTCTAATTGTCCAGGTGAGAGTTGTCATGAAAAAGACAGTCAGCAATTCATGTTTTCACAACCAGAGGAGAAAACCATCAATCGCTTTCTCAAAAAAACAGTCCTTTACAAGACAAACTTGTCCCAGACAATTGGGAAGGGTACATGTGAGAGTGAAAGAGTAGGAGCATGTCAGGGTGGCTGATAAGAAAAGAGAAGGTTGGTCAAAGAGCTTGATGGCCTTATGCTGTAATTCTGCTGGTGCAAGGAGCTCAGACCATCATACAAGTTCATTCAACTTGACTTGAAAAATTCATTATAACTTCCAACAATTGGACTAAACACTCCAAACACTCCAGGAGCTGGAAAAAAACTGCACTGGAGTGGCAATGAACTGTAACATGAAATCTGGCTGCTGTAGGGTGAAAAATGACTGCTTGGAAATGGCAAGCGAAAAAACTGACCCGAAAAGGCTTACACGTCCTTTAGATACTAACAAATATACTACAATAAATTACTCGACTAACATGCTAAAATATATTTCGCACACAAGACAAACTAACATACGAAAATCCCAAAGGGCAAAAACAAAAGACACTAATAAACAGGTGTTTAGTTCTTTACATTCATAGTTTACCTTTTTTCACATTAACTGGGTCCAGTGAAGAGGACATCCCTGTAGCTTTGCATGTAGGACAACAGACCAAAGTGCTCCCCACAATAATGCCTCATCAAAATCTGCTGTAACAAATTGCACATGAAGCCACTCACACGGTAGAAGATGGATGATCTCTCTCAAAATCTGATAGATAAAGAATCAATAATTCACTCAAATTGGGTATTAAATGAGCATATTTTCCTTTCTTCTGATTGGCTGTCAAGGTAACTTTGGCCTTGATATTAAAAATTTCAATTGAAGAGTGCTCTAACCATTATTTACATTGAAAAAATGTGGGACTGAGCATTTAGAGGGAGTTATATGTATACTAACCTTCTTGTAATCTCTCTTCTTCTTTGAGGACATTAGGACAAACACTAATGGCACTTGTTTTGCAGACTTGGCAGACATGTTGGTGAAAGGGTTCCTAGACTATCTTGTCATTTCTGTCTATGTACCATGTTTTTGTTGCAGCTAACTGACTCAGCTGTTGTTCTGTAGCAAAAATAAAGTGGCACCACTCCTTTTCTTTCACTTCTGCTTGGTAAAAACCTGATGGAATGATGTCCTCTTTAAGGGAGAAATTGAGGTCCACTTTGGGCAAAGTTGGGCACACAGAGGTTACAGGCAGAGCTTCCTGAAGAATCTATTTAAAATAAAAAGAAAAATTGCAGCAAAAATTAATAGGGCCAGGTCACAGAGTATAAGTGGAAAAGGAAAATTCAATAATTTGCTGTTGGGGGGGAGAAAGGAGAAAGGAGAAAGGGAAGAGGGGTTACCTGCCCTTGACTAAGAGACTGTTCTTCATTTTTTTTTTGATAGAAAATTAACTTTCTTAAATATGGTTTATTGAAACAAAAAAGTATCCAATTCTAACTTCCTATATTTGGAATTATGACAAATGTTGCACAATACAATAACAACAATAGTTCTTTATTTGGTTATCAAGATATGATTAATGGTTTATTGTAACCTTCCTTTTATTAAATGTAGTTTAAGGAAAATATTTTGTTGACCCTTCAACTCCCAGAAGTGATTAACATGTAACTTCTCCCTAAAATATCCATAAATTATCCAGCAAACAGGTAATGAGAATATTCAAACTTATCAGGTAGAAGTTGTTATCTCCATCTTACTCCAAATTCTTATAACTAATTTACAAGGAAACATGTAGCAGCCAGAAGGGAGAATTAACAATCAGATCTTGGGAGTTAAAAGGTTAAAAGAAAAAAAAAAGTGTTGGATGCCAAGCATTTTTTTACATTCAAAACTTTAAGGGTTCAGTACAGGCATTGTATAATTATTGAGTAACATGCCACAACAGATGTACACAACTCTCGTGGATGGGGTTAAAAAAAAGGAAAATGAAGTATTTTTGTTCATGGACATAAAATGAACTAAGAAGCACATTAAACAACTGCTGACAACTAAAACTATCACCAATGCAGTTTCATTCTATCATGATGAGTTCATCTATTACCCAGACTTCTAGGCTTCCATCTGGAAGATTTTGCCAAAATGTAATGGGGATTTTCTTGCTCTGAAATAATATCTAAAAAGAATTAAGAGGCTTGCAACTCCTGTGATTGATGTACTTCTACAATTATTTTTCCAGGTTCATTTGTCATATAGTCTAATAAATATTATTATAAATCTGCATGAATTATATCACAGATGCTGCAATCCTATTGGCTATGCTGCCCACTATAGATAATTAACCCTTGATTTCCATGTGGTAGTTTATTCTGGCTAAGCACACATCAACTATCACAAAACAGAGATCTAAGTACAGATAATTAAAAACTCTCTTTGGATTACATTGCTGAGGCAACTTGGTACTAGCTGTTAAACTACTTACGCTGTAAGTTTTAGCTTAGATACTCTGTTAACCTTTTAACTCCCAAGATCTGATTGTTAATTCTCCCCTGTAGCTGCTACACATTTCCTTGTAAATTAGTTATGAGAACTTGGTGCTTGATCAAGAAAGCAGCTTCTACCTGATAAATTTGAATATTCTCATTACCTGTTTGCTGAAGAATGTATGGATATTGTAGGGAGAAGTTTTATGTTTATCACTTCTGGGAGTTAAAGGGTTAAAAAAAAATTCATTAAAATTCTTACTTGAGTTCCTTCATGGCTATCTGTAGAGGATCTGTCTGACCTTCAAGTTCCACCATAACAGGGGCACCCATACTGGTTATCAAAACACAACAGATAAAATTGAGTTCCTAAAATTGTGGTCTTGCCAGAATGGACTGAAATAGTCTGTAGCCAAGGTATAACTCAAGATCTCTATCCCTGCCATTAAGTCTTTAACAATCTTTATTTGTTGAGTTAACTAACCCTTTAACTCCCAAGATCTGATTGTTAATTCTCCCCTCTAGCTGCAACACATTTCCTTGTTAATTGGTTACAAGAATTTGGTGTTCAATCAAGGTAATATAATATCTTCTACCTGATGAGTTTGAATATTCTCATGACCTGTTTGCTGAATAATGTATGGATATTATAGGGAGAATTTACATATTAATCACTTCTGAGAGTTAAAGGGTCAAGTACCTTATCTGTAGTGCTCTAGTTCCTAATACTCTTGCTCTCTCATATTTTGTCATATATGGTGTTGTGATTCTTTTTGTTGGTTCTTGGCTTTCTTCTGCAAATTGACATAAAAAAGTATGAGTTAATATTACATTTAAGCAATTAAAATGTCCAGTAACTGTTATAAAATTTTCTTCAGCCTGACATTGTTAGACATTCACTTATGAAGGTTGTAGTAGCAACTTTGAAGGATCATGCAACTTCCCTACTTTAATAAAATGAAATGCAAGAAACATTTCCTCATCCTGTGTCTTATAATTAACATTGTTAACTCTTTGAGGCCAAGTGGCCACAACTTCTGGAGTTTTGGCTTTGTTCTAGTGGATTACCTTATTTAACTGAGATTTTATAGAACACTGTTGAAAATTTACTGCAAACCATACCTGTTGTGGGCAAAATGTCAATATTATCTGTGTCTTCTGTTGGCTGAAAAAAAAAACACAGTAGGATATTAGATACAACCTCCACCAGGAAAGGAAAATAGCTATAAAGAAGTATTTTACCACTTTTGATTACTGTGAAACTCAGAAAATCATGAACTTCAGAGTGAATATTACTTTATAAAATTTGATCTATGCAAGAAAACATGGCAGCCAGCCGTCAGTCAGGTGTGAGAAATCTCAGCCTCACGCAGTAAGCGCTGATTAGCTTGTACTCTACTATTTAATTTTGCCTACACATCCTGATCTCACATATGATTGGTCATGACAAATTATTATTCCGGACACAATGGTTTTCTGAGTTTGAAAGAAATGTAAGTGCCCTCAAACTGGGACGTCATTCTACATTGTCGGGAAAAAGATCATTACTATCCTCTCTGATACTATCGTTACTATATTAAACTAAAAACTTCCACCTGCCTAATTCTGATAATCAGTAAGTGATGTTTGACTCACATGTAACCGAAATTACACGTGCGTTGTCAAAATTATGGTAGATCCACTAAATTAACTTATTCAGAAAATAATGGCTAGAAAGCTTACCTCTAAGTCATCTACATCTTCAAAGTGGTCTTCTTCTTCGACCTCATCGAGGTCATCGTCATACCTAGAAGAAAATCGAGAAAGTTCTCCATCGCGACTTTTGCCGTTAAAAAGTAAATTGGACAACGATTGCTTCGTTTCCGCTATCATCAACCTCTACTACAAGAAATGACTTTTGATCGACAAATAAAATGCGACAAAACGTAAATTCGGTGTGTAGTTATCTACAAGTGAATCACTGTGGAAAAGATCTTAAGACTCGCTGATTTGGAATGTCATTACCACTCACCCTTCCAAATCGTCGTCCGCCATTTTGAACGAAAACGTAAGTTACCGGTCCAGCAGCAAAATCCAAAGTAAAAGAGTACTTGATATATGACAAGTGGAAAGGTCACCCACGTGCGTTTTTCAACATGGCGGCTGATTTGACATACGAAGGTTGTAATTTTTTCCGACAAAGACTTGTTTTGGCGACGCTTAGCGGTAAATCGGTGAAAATAAAAAACATAAGAGCTGTTGAAGACGATCCTGGGCTGAAAGGTGCGTCCATTATCGAACTGATTAAGAAATCACAGCCCTTTCAGCTGCTGACTTCGGCTGTAAAAAACTTATATAAAATATGCTTCGTGTTTTGTTGTCAAATTTGAGAATTTTTGCTGTCTATATAACCCTTTAAAGACTTTGAAGCAAGTTTTATACGGCTCCTGGACAAGGTAACAAACGGATCACGAATAGAAATTAATGAAACAGGTAAGTCTTCAGATAATTTATCAGATAATTTTTGTTATTTGTTTATAAGATTTTAATGAATGATAGCACTGCCCGGCCAGGTAATGTCCATTATAGAGGTCCTATTAGGGGTTATCGGGATACAGAATAAAACATTATAGGGATACGGGATACTTAAGGAAAAAATTAAAGGGATATTTAAAATATAATTATATCCCAGGATGTAAACTTGAATTTTAGGATAGAAACTAGAGGAAGTAATAGGATACAGGATGTTTAAGCCAAACATTAATACTATAGGGGACACCTGGACCCCCCCCCCCTTCCTAATGGGGTCAAATTATTAAAGCTATATTATTCTTATGTTTGGTTATTTTGTTTCCTTTTCCAAAGGTACAATGCTGTTTTATAAACCTGGCCTGTTAACTGGAGGAACCATTGACCATGACTGTAATCCTCAAAGATCCATTGGTTATTACCTAGAAGCAGTGGTGCTGCTGGCACCATTTTGCAAGAAACCTATCAGACTTACTCTGAAAGGAATAACAAATGACAGACATGATCCAACAGTAAGCCAGAAATAATGTTATATTTTTTTATTGCGGAGAATTGACCCTTTAAGCCCTCAGAGTGATGAGCTTCTGACTTCTCCTTAAAGTACACTGCTGTATAATTCAAGATCATGAGAATAACAGAAATGATCACCAGCACAAGAAGCTTTGACTGTTGGACAAATGTTCCTTGTCATCACCAAAGCAAATATATAAAGAATAAAACAGTACGTCAAATATGGATACTGATGTGAGGTTGTAAAGAGTTAAATACAAAAATGATCAAATGTTAATTCAAATTTTGTGTTGATATTTTCCAGTTTCTCTCTGTTTTGTAAAAACTCTCATTTCATATCTAACAGTGTAGACAGAAATAAGATAGAAAATGAGCTTGTATAGAGGTGCATAATTAGATTACTTCTGAGAAATGTGCCTTTCCTAGAATTTGATGATTGCTGAATTATGTTATTTTAGGTTGACATCATTAAAACAGTTACTCTCCCTCTGGTAAAGAAGTTTGTGGTGGATGATGAAGGCTTAGATTTAAAGGTATCATTAGCTATTATTAATGAATTTAATTATTATTATTATTATTATCATTATTAATGATTTTCCAAGTAGAATTTTAACACATGCAAAAGATTGAGTCATGCATTAATTGTACCATCAGTGAACTTAGTTGGAAAGAAAGTTAAATAATATGACTCAGCTGCCTCTTTCAACAGGATTGAATATATCTCCTCTCCTTGAAGTAGTCAGCTAAGTTATGTAATCAACAAGGTCACCATAATAACTAAGCAATTCTAATTATGTATATTGAAATATTAGAGCAGAGAGTAGAGGCGCACATCAAGATACCTCATATAGTGCCCCTTAATTTAGGATAAAAAGTTATTCACTAAACTAGGCATAACTAAAATGGCTTAGATCAAAGAGGAAGACAAAAGATGAAGTACATCAAAAATTAATATTGAGTCAAATAATATTGTGAAAGTGCTTTTTTCTGGTTAGTAGAGGAAAGAGGACTGCAGTAGATCATTCTTACCAAACATTATAAGGGCCATATTTTTACCAAAACAATGGAATTGGCCAGGGCAAAATTGGTGTCTAAGACAATCCCATTGGATTTGAACTCCTTTCCTTTCATCAGTTTCTTTAATTTGTTGCAATTGATTTACATGGCTGTTCAAAACACTATGAAATATAATATTATCATTTCATTGACTTTTTTTGTCACAGATTGTGAAAAGGGGAGCACCTCCAGAGGGGGGAGGGGAGGTGGTATTCTCTTGTCCTGTGAGGAGAAACTTGCGGCCATTACAATTCACAGATCCTGGTAAGATAAAAAGAATAAGAGGCCTTGCGTATCCTTTACTTTTTCCCTTGGTATAAGTGTTATAACTTTATTACAGAGACTGTAAGATCAACTGCTTACTTATTATTTTTCTTGTAATTCATATTGACTTGTATCATTCTTTATATTTTTCATACCTCCTTGATAGTGTTTTTTGTTAAATTTGTCAGCATTTTTCCTCATCAGGCACACCTTTTCTCACATTTCCATACTGCCTGTTAATTCAAAGTCCTCTTGTATTTAAAGCCAGTTTCTATAAATTATCACTTTCTATAGATTATCACTTTTTAAGTCAGTTTACCAAAAGTTGCTCTTGGCGCAGTTCTCTTAAATAATTTCTGATTTTAGCTTCAACAACTTCTTCTATGACTAGTATTGCTGCTGCCAAAATAAAATATATTTTGAGTTGTTGTGATAATGTTTTTACTGTTATAGAGACCATTTCACATAGATCGCTATTTTTTTTTGATAAAAGCTGATTGCCTTAACCAAACCTTAAACAGGTATGCTATGAGAGTTTCTCCAGCTATTTGTAATAGGGTGGTTGATGCAGTCCGTGGTGTTTTGAACCAGTTTGTGTCCGATATCTACATTTATACAGATCACTGCAAAGGAGGTCAATCTGGAAAGTATGTCATTTTATAACAAACCTTTAACTTTTTTACCAGGGAATCAGCATGTTTCACCATTATTCATACATTAAATATCCACAACAAGACAAAAAATTATCTTTCTATATTTCCTTACTGAGCATAAAGCTTACCATCTTCTTCTTCTATTTACAAAATGTGGTGCTATCGACATTGCTGATCCTAGCAGAGTGCAGGATATGTGTCATATATGAAATTCATAATGGGCCTTAGAGTCTCTGTGGCTCAGTGGTAGAGCATGGGAGTGTGGAATCTGAAGGTTTGAGGTTCAATTCCTCATGGGGACTCAGAATTTTTTCTTTGTTCTGTGCTCATGAGAAGACGACAACCATATTTCTTAATTTCCAAAGTGGCAAAATTTATGAGAAGTTTTACTACTCCTCCCCCTCCCCTGTAAGGGGTGACCGTCCATTGTAAATTGCCCTTGGCATTTTTAGATTTACTTAAGAAGTTATCAGTACCCATTCATACTCTTGAGCAGAGAGAGGAACTGTGAGAGTAAGGTGTCTTGTCCAAGAAGGTAAAGTTATAACGCTTGCTAGTTCTCACGCCCAGATTTGCTCATGCAACTGAGTCAGTGCACTGCTGTTGTGCTGGTGATATTACGATAAGCAAGCTTTTCAGAGTCTCTTAAAACCAGAGATGCAATGTGTTCTTTTGTCATAAGCATGGTACACCATTAGTCATCAGATTAATGATAATCATGATTAAAAATGTCTTCCTTCAGGTCACCAGGGTTTGGGATCTCATTAGTTGCAGAATCAACAACTGGTGCCATGCTAAGTGTTCAGACATCATCTACCCCAGTAGGGAAGGGTCAGCCAGTTGTCCCTGAGGATCTTGGCAAACAGGCAGCTGAAATGTTACTTGAAGAAATTTACAAGGTAAGGTTTTTCCTGCTTTGGTCAGTTTCTTTATTTATACTTGGATCCTTCATTGGCTCATGATATGTTCCTTTGTTCTGGTTGGCTACTGTGATTGCTTTCAGTTTTGGATGTACGACACTCAATCAAAATGCACTGCATTAATATCTCTTGGCAGCTGGTGATCAGGCTTACACTCATACTAGCTTTCAAAACAATGATTAAAGTATAGCTGTATATTCTGAAACAAGACTCACCATTATTATTTATCTTTCTCCTTTGATAGGGAGGCTGTGTTGACTCTCGCCATCAGAGTGTTGTTCTCCTTTACATGATTCTGGGACAAAGGGATGTTTCTAAAATTCTCACTGGTCCACTGACTCCATATACGTAAGTAGTTGATAATGTCTCTCAGTGAAAAGAGTAAATAAATTCACACAATTTTCTGTTTGCTGGAGTTATGATCTGTTGTGTGTTATTTGGAAAGATTTTTTTAACTGCTTGGCATCAGTCTGGCTCTCATTCAATTGCACAAAGGAGAGTAGGGAGAAGGAGGAGAAACAGAGAGATTGAAAAGTGGGAAGAGGCAGTGTTAGGGAGTATGATGGAGGACACAGGAGGAGACAGGGAGGGAGTGGGAATGGAGAGAGGATAGAAGCATTGTAGGGGGTATATGGAGGGCACAGTGGAGGGGAATGAGGTAGCAGGAGGGCAGGAGGAGGGAGAGAAATTTAGAGGAGGACAGGGAGGGAGGGAGGGGGAAATGGAGGGAGACAGAGGGGTGGAGAGGGAAAGAGAGAAGGAGAGGAGATGATGAGGAAGGAAAAGATAAAGAAGAGAGGGGAGATAGGAAGAAGGAGAGGGACAGGGTGGCAGGGAGGTGAGGTGTAGATGATGATGGGAAATGAAGACAAGTGCAGCTCAGATAGAGAGGAAAGGTCGAATGGATAATAGGAAGAGAGGGAAGAAAGGAATATGATGAAGAATAAGAAGGAGATGAAAGAGAGGTGAGATAGACATGAAGAAAGGAAAGTGTTGGAAGGAAGGAGAAATGGAGAAAAGTAAGTGGGGAGGGAGGGGAGAGACGGCTTGGTGGTGGAAGGTTCATCATCAATGTCATGATAAATGTTATTATTTTCTTTCTACTGAGTAATTCTTTGAAAATTTTCTCAGTGCTATCAACTCTTTTACAGCATTCAATTTTTGAGGCATCTAAAAGAATTTTTTGGAGTGATGTTCAAAATACAAGCACAACAGAGTGATGACGACAACAGTGTAGCAGGAGGAGAGAGTAAAATCTTGCTATCATGTGTAGGGGCTGGATACACGAACATTAACAAGACTATGGTGTAAACAAAAACAAAAAGCAGTGAAGTCAGGGATATTGAGACCTTGATTCTGTGGGAATTTATTTATTTTTTCATATTATAGAGTGAATGTAAACTTGTCTTCATCTCAAATAAACTCATATTGAGACATGAAATGGTTTTTTAATCGAGTTTCAACAATGAAACGTTGAAATGAAGCGAAAAATCTTTAATTTTAATTGTAAAACTGTAAGAGCGCGCTCATCGAACTGAAGTGCTGACAAGAAATTGCCTAAGGCACTTTGTGTTTCTCCGAGATAAACGTAACGCTGAGGTGTGTCTGGGTGTTTTCCCCGAATAGTCTCTAATGTCAAGAGCACGCTGTTTGGAGTTAGAGTAAACAGTCGCGGTAGGGGGCGGGGGGGGGGGGGGGGGGGGGGGGGGGCAGGGGCGGGGGTGAGAATCTTCACTCCTCCACCCCCACCCTTCTTCTTCTTATTTCTGACCGTCGACCGCCCCCATAGTAGAAATTTCTTTCTCTCCCCAAGCCTTCTGCTACCATTAAAATCAAAGATGGCGGCCATTTTCGTTCAGAAAATACTTAGCACTCGCTCGCCAAAATTAAACCTGTTTTTCAGGCTACCCTTTTCACTGCCTTACAGGCGTAGCCTGGATCGGAACGTTTTCAAAATGGCCGTCGATTAAGTGTCAAAAAAATTGTAGAAAATTTGGCTTTGAATAATATGTCGTTTATTTGCTCATTTTGGTTTCTCTAACCTAAAAGGAATGTATATCAAAAAGTGTCTCCATGAAGCGCGCGGCCAAAAACGATTATGTTATCGCTGTGACGTAGAAAAATGTGAAGACACGTCGGCAGCTATGGTGGAGAAAGGGAAAATCTGGAAAGAAGGACGGACGTAATGCGTGGCCGGAGCGCCAAATGATAGCTACAAGAATAATACACATATATCAGGTATTTTTAAACACTCATTTCCAAATGATGTAGGTATATGACCAAAATGGACGTGTCTCGATCGTCGACATCGAGGAGATTTTACTCTTCAATGTCGTTGGCCTTATGCTCCGTACCGGCTTCGAAGACGCCTGTTACGAACATATATAACTACTGAGTTAAATCAGGGGAAGATAACCAAAGAATTCAGCTAAAGAGGATGCTGATAAGTAGCCTGTACCCACACCGTACACGATTGTTCGACATTCTTTTCGGCTGACATTTCGCAAGCGAAGAATAGGGAGCTCCTTATTTCACGCGCTTGAGATGTACTCATTCTCTCTGTCTTTCCACACGACTACATTTGCGCTTTTTTCTCTTATCGTATGAAAATCCTACCAATTGTAGTTTATATCGTATTTTAACAACAGAAATGCATCATTTGTGATAAAGTTCAAGCCGTTTCCTGAGCTGACCGATATCCTGTGGTGTGAACCTCTGGCGGATACTGGCATAAACACAAGCTCGGCGAAGGGTCCGTGTATTCTCCTAACTTAGGTTTCCAAAAATCCATCCCACGAGCCATCAATTCCCCCCTGCCCTCAAGAAACTAAAAGTAGCAACAGAAGCAATATCATTGTGATAACAGCAGTGCAACGAGATAATTAAAGAAACGCAAATAATATTGAATTAGATGCATGGTAGCGAATCCAAGTGTTGTGCGAAATGGGTCGCATGGCAATGCCGCACTTAAACTAAAGAACGTTTTTCTGTATTAAAATCCCTATTTGAGATTAACTTGAATCGGATGACTTTAAACTCACTCGTTTTTCGTTTGACCGGTTCGACGACGCCGGCCTCTGCCTTTACAATCTCTGAGGAAAGGAGCAGTTTACAGTGAAACTGCCCGATCACTTTTAGGCGAAAAATCATCGTGCCTCGTGCTACAGCTGATTATTTCGTCAAAAGTTAGCTTTTGGTTTGCCAAGGATATTACTCTACAGCAACGAAACTCTGGAGCATTAACCAAAGAAATAAGAAATAACATGTTATGTAAACAGAAACGAACACAGCTACCCATTATTACCACAGATTTCGCCGTAGAAAACAAAACAAAACACGAAGGCAATTAACTAATCATTCAGTAGCGGGAGTGCTTTGTTCTGAATCTTGACCTGAACACCGCAGGCGAGAAACCGTCTTTGTCAGTCCTCGTCGAAATCTTCGTTGGCACGCAGTTGATGCAGCTTGTAAAGAAAAAGTATTCTCATATCTTTCACGTCCTCAACCTAAGATGCATTTTTTAAAATTTTAAATGAGAAAAAATTTTGACGGGTTGAGACAGGATCTGAGAGTTAGGGACTTATTTTTCATATTCTAGAGTTAATGTAAAGTTGTCATTCTGACAACACTCACACGATAAATTCAATGTGAAAAGTTTATTCAGGATGAGCCAGTCAGTCTTCTAGTACTAAGGAAGAAAAATCAATGATTGTAAATTGCAACAAATACAGAAAAGAAAATGGTCAAACATAAGACTGACCGACCTAGAATGACTTAATTTTCCCGCGAAACGAATGAGTAATCCGAAACTTCCATGATGCCACGAGAACCTCTTCAACTAATTCGTTCCCATGTCACTTAAACGTCAAAAATGACATTTTTATCTCGAGTAAACTCAGATTAAGAAAGGAAGTGTTTTTTAATGAAGTTTCTGAAAAGAAACATTGAGGTGAAGTTTAAAATCGTTTATTTTAGTTAAAGAAAAAAAACAAGACTAAATGGTTCCTTCAAGTTTTCCCAAATTGTTTAATTTTCTGCAAATCCGAGTCACTTTTCTTCCCAGAGTGAAGGGGTTTACTCTTCTACACAGCTTAAAAGGGAAGGAGTCCTTCAACTGGGTTTTATCATTAAAGGGAGTGAGTTTCTAAAGAAACTGTGGTGCTGCGTCAGTGGGAGAGTATAGCAAGATAATTTGGTTTTATCGACTGAGTTGTTAAGGTTACTCCCCACCTTCGCGGGTGTCCTTTAGGAAAGAAAATCGTTGGAGTGCTAGTTTCACTATAATCCTAGCAAACTCCTAGAAAAGAACTTTTGGCTGTGTCTGGGTGTTCTTCCTTGAAGAATTTAACTCTTATGTCAAGAGCACGTTGTTTGGACTGAAGTGCTGACAAGAAATTGCCTAAAGCATGTTGTGTTACTCCGAGATTAAAGTAACTTTTGGCTGTCTCGGTGTTCTCCCCCGAAGAGTTTAACTCTTATATCAAGAACACGCTGTTTGAACTAAAGTGCTGACGAGAAATTGCCTAAAGCGTGTTATGTTACTCCGATAGAAAAGTAACTTTCGGCTGTGTCTGGGTGTTCTTCGCCGAAGAGTTTTTAAACTCTTATATCAAGAGCACGCTGATGGGACTGAAGTGCTGACGAGAAATTTCCTAAAGCATGCTGCGTTACTCCGATAGAAAAGTAACTTTTGGCTGTGTCTCGGTGTTCTTCCCCGAAGAGTTTAACTCTTATGTCAAGAGCACGCTGATCGGACTGAAGGTGCTGACGAGAAATTTCCTAAAGCGCGTTGTGTTACTCCGATAGAAAAGTAACTTTCGACTGTGTCTGGGTGTTCTTCCCCGAAGAGTTTAACTCTTATGTCAAGAGCACGCTGTTTGGACTGAAGTGCTGACGAGAAATTTCCTAAAGCATGTTGTGTTCCTCCGATAGAAAAGTAACTTTCGGCTGTGTCTGGGTGTTCTTCCCCGAAGAGTTTAACTCTTATGTCAAGAGCACGCTGTTTGGACTGACGTGCTGACGAGAAATTTCCTAAAGCATGTTGTGTTACTCCGAGATTAAAGTAACTTTCGGCTGTGTCTCGGTGTTCTTCCCCGAAGAGTTTAACGCTTATGTCAAGAGCACGCTGATCGGACTGAAGTGCTGACGAGAAATTTCCTAAAGCGTGTTGTGTTGCTCCGATAGAAAAGCAACTTTTGGCTGTGTCTCGGTGTTCTTCCCCGAAGAGTTTAACTCTTATGTCAAGAGCACACTGATTGGACTGAAGTGCTGACGAGAAATTTCCTAAAGCACGTTGTGTTACTCCGATAGAAAAGTAACTTTCGGCTGTGTCTCGGTGTTCTTCCCCGAAGAGTTTAACTCTTATGTCAAGAGCACGCTGATCGGACTGAAGTGCTGACGAGAAATTTCCTAAAGCGTGTTGTGTTACTCCGATAGAAAAGTAACTTTCGGCTGTGTCTGGGTGTTCTTCCCCGAAGAGTTTAACTCTTATGTCAAGAGCACGCTGATCGGACTGAAGTGCTGACGAGAAATTTCCTAAAGCATGTTGTGTTACTCCGATAGAAAAGTAACTTTCGGCTGTGTCTGGGTGTTCTTCCCCGAAGAGTTTAACTCTTATGTCAAGAGCACGCTGTTTGGACTGAAGTGCTGACGAGATATTTCCTAAAGCATGTTGTGTTACTCCGATAGAAAAGTAACTTTCGGCTATGTCTGGGTGTTCTTCCCCGAAGAGTTTAACTCTTATGTCAAGAGCACGCTGATCGGACTGAAGTGCTGACGAGAAATTTCCTAAAGCATGTTGTGTGTCTCCGATAGAAAAGTAACTTTTGGCTGTGTCTGGGTGTTCTTCCCTGAAGAGTTTAACTCTTATGTCAAGAGCACGCTGATAGGACTGAAGTGCTGACGAGAAATTTCCTAAAGCATGTTGTGTTTCTCCGATAGAAAAGTAACTTTCGGCTGTGTCTCGGTGTTCTTCCCCGAAGAATTTAACTCTTATGTCAAGAGCACGTTGATCGGACTGAAGTGCTGACGAGAAATTTCCTAAAGCATGTTGTGTTTCTCCGATAGAAAAGTAACTTACGGCTGTGTCTCGGTGTTCTTCCCCGAAGAGTTTAACTCTTATGTCAAGAGCACGCTGATCAGACTGAAGTGCTGACGAGAAATTTCCTAAAGCATGTTGTGTTCCTCCCATAGAAAAGTAACTTTCGGCTGTGTCTGGGTGTTCTTCCACGAAGAGTTTAACTCTTATGTCAAGAGCACGCTGTTTGGACTGAAGAGCTGACGAGAAATTTCCTAAAGCATGTTGTGTTACTCCGATAGAAAAGTAACTCTCAGCTGTGTCTGGGTGTTCTTCCTCGAAGAGTTTAACTCTTATGTCAAGAGCACGCTGTTTGGACTGAAGTGCTGACGAGAAATTTCCTAAAGCATGTTGTGTTACTCCGATAGAAAAGTAACTTTCGGCTGTGTCTGGGTGTTCTTCCCCAAAGAGTTTAACTCTTATGTCAAGAGCACGCTGTTTGGACTGAAGTGCTGACGAGAAATTTCCTAAAGCGTGTTGTGTTACTCCGATAAAAAAGTAACTTTCGGCTGTGTCTCGGTGTTCTTCCCCGAAGAGTTTAACTCTTATGTCAAGAGCACGCTGATCGGACTGAAGTGCTGACGAGAAATTTCTTAAAGCATGTTGTGTTACTCCGATAGAAAAGTAACTTTCGGCTGTGTCTCGGTGTTCTTCCCCGAAGAGTTTAACTCTTATGTCAAGAGCACGCTGATCGGACTGAAGTGCTGACGAGCAATTTCCTAAAGCGTGTTGTGTTGCTCCGATAGAAAAGTAACTTTTGGCTGTGTCTGGGTGTTCTTCCCCGAAGAGTTTAAATCTTATGGCAAGAGCACGCTGATCGGACTGAAGTGCTGACGAGAAATTTCCTAAAGCATGTTGTGTTACTCCGATAGAAAAGTAACTTTAGGCTGTATCACGGTGTTATTCCCCGAAGAGTTTAACTCTTATGTCAAGAGCACGCTGTTTGGACTGAATTGCTGACGAGAAATTTCCTAAAGCATGTTGTGTTACTCCGATAGAAAAGTAACTTTCGGCTGTGTCTCGGTGTTCTTCCCCGAAGAGTTTAACTCTTATGTCAAGAGCACGCTGATAGGACTGAAGTGCTGACGAGAAATTTCCTAAAGCATGTTGTGTTACTCCGAGATTAAAGTAACTTTTGGCTGTATCTCGGTGTTCTTCCCCGATGAGTTTAACTCTTATGTCAAGAGCATGCTGTTTGGACTGAAGTGCTGACGAGAAATTTCCTAAAGCATGTTGTGTGACTCCGATAGAAAAGTAACTTTCGGCTGTGTCTCGGTGTTCTTCCCCGAAGAGTTTAACTCTTATGTCAAGAGCACGCTGTTTGGACTGAAGTGCTGACGAGAAATATCCTAAAGCATGTTGTGTTACTCCGATAGAAAAGTAACTTTCGGCTGTGTCTGGGTGTTCTTCCCCGAAGAGTTTAACTCTTATGTCAAGAGCACGCTGTTTGGACTGAAGTGCTGACGAGAAATTTCCTAAAGCATGTTGTGTTACTCCGATAGAAAAGTAACTTTCGGCTGTGTCTGGGTGTTCTTCCCCGAAGAGTTTAACTCTTATGTCAAGAGCACGCTGATAGGACTGAAGTGCTGACGAGAAATTTCCTAAAGCATGTTGTGTTACTCCGAGATTAAAGTAACTTTTGGCTGTATCTCGGTGTTCTTCCCCGATGAGTTTAACTCTTATGTCAAGAGCATGCTGTTTGGACTGAAGTGCTGACGAGAAATTTCCCTAAAGCATGTTGTGTTACTCCGATAGAAAAGTAACTTTCGGCTGTGTCTCGGTGTTCTTCCCCGAAGAGTTTAACTCTTATGTCAAGAGCACGCTGTTTGGACTGAAGTGCTGAGGAGAAATTTCCTAAAGCATGTTGTGTTACTCCGAGATTAAAGTAACTTTCGGCTGTGTCTCGGTGTTCTTCCCCGAAGATTTTAACTCTTATGTGAAGAGCACGCTGATAGGACTGAAGTGCTGACGAGAAATTTCCTAAAGTGTGTTGTGTTGCTCCGATAGAAAAGTAACTTTCGGCTGTGTCTCGGTGTTCTTCCCCGAAGAGTTTAACTCTTATGTCAAGAGCACGCTGATCGGACTGAAGTGCTGACGAGAAATTTCCTAAAGCATGTTGTGTTACTCCGATAGAAAAGTAACTTTCGGCTGTGTCTCGGTGTTCTTCCCCAAAGAGTTTAACTCTTATGTCAAGAGCATGCTGATAGGACTGAAGTGCTGACGAGAAATTTCCTAAAACATGTTGTGTTACTCCGAGAGAAAAGTAACTTTCGGCTGTGTCTGGGTGTTCTTCCCCGAAGAGTTTAACTTTTATGTCAAGAGCACGCTGATGGGACTGAAGTGCTGACGAGAAATTTCCTAAAGCGTGTTGTGTTACTCCGATAGAAAAGTAACTTTCGGCTGTGTCTCGGTGTTCTTCCCCGAAGAGTTTAACTCTTATGTCAAGAGCACGCTGATCGGACTGAAGTGCTGACGAGAAATTTCCTAAAGCATGTTGTGTTACTCCGATAGAAAAGTAACTTTCGGCTGTGTCTGGGTGTTCTTCCCCGAAGAGTTTAACTCTTATGTCAAGAGCACGCTGTTTGGACTGAAGAGCTGACGAGAAATTTCCTAAAGCATGTTGTGTTTCTCCGATAGAAAAGTAACTTTCGGCTGTGTCTGGGTGTTCTTCCCCGAAGAGTTTAACTCTTATGTCAAGAGCACGCTGATCGTACTGAAGTGCTGACGAGAAATTTCCTAAAGCATGTTGTGTTGATCCGATAGAAAAGTAACTTTCGGCTGTGTCTCGGTGTTCTTCCCCGAAGAATTTAACTCTTATGTCAAGAGCACGCTGATCGGACTGAAGTGCTGACGAGAAATTTCCTAAAGCATGTTGTGTTTCTCCGATAGAAAAGTAACTTTCGGCTGTGTCTCGGTGTTCTTCCCCGAAGAGTTTAACTCTTATGTCAAGAGCACGCTGATCAGACTGAAGTGCTGACGAGAAATTTCCTAAAGCATGTTGTGTTACTCCGATAGAAAAGTAACTTTCGGCTGTGTCTCGGTTTTCTTCCCCGAAGAGTTTAATTCTTATGTCAAGAGCATACTGTTTGGACTGAAGTGCTGACGAGAAATTTCCTAAAGCATGTTGTGTTACTCCGATAGAAAAGTAACTTTTGGCTGTGTCTCGGTGTTCTTCCCCGAATAGTTTAATTCTTATGTCAAGAGCATGCTGTTTGGACTGAAGTGCTGACGAGAAATTTCCTAAAGCATGTTGTGTTACTCCGATAGAAAAGTAACTTTTGGCTGTGTCTGGGTGTTCTTCCCAGAAGAGTTTAACTCTTATGTCAAGAGCACGCTGTTTGGACTGAAGTGCTGACGAGAAATTTCCTAAAGCATGTTGTGTTACTCCGATAGAAAAGTAACTTTCGGCTGTGTCTGGGTGTTCTTCCCCGAAGAGTTTAACTCTTATGTCAAGAGCACGCTGATCAGACTGAAGTGCTGAAGAGAAATTTCCTAAAGCATGTTGTGTTACTCCGATAGCAAAGTAACTTTCGGCTGTGTCTCGGTGTTCTTCCCCGAAGAGTTTAACTCTTATGTCAAGAGCACGCTGCTTGGACTGAAGTGCTGATGAAAAATTGCCTAAAGCATGTTGTGTTTCTCCGATAGAAAAGTAACTTTTGGCTGTGTCTGGGTGTTCTTCCTTGAAGAGTCCTCTTGCGATGTTTAGGGCATATTCAAAGGACTGAATGGCTCTAGGATAGTTTTGCACCTGAAGAAGAGTGTTGCCTTGGTCCATATAGCTTTTATATAATTCTTCTTGATGCAAATTTGAATCAAAATTTTCTTCGGGTTTAGCTTTATCATCTGAGATATCTTGTCCACTTTCTTTTAAGACCTTTTTATGATACCTGATCCGTGTGTCGCACAACTTTGATGCTTCCTTGGGATTATTTAGTACATTTTCAAGTGTCGAATTGATGTTGCGCTGGAAGGTCCATAAACCAACGGATTGTGGGAGGATCTGTTTCTCTGTTTGATTTGACATCTCTAGCACACATTTGCTTATTGCTTTCTTTGTTTCATAATCAGAGAACTTTTCTGTTGCCTTGCTAAGAACGACAATCATTTCTAATCTAAGTGGTTCAGTGGTTGTTACGTCTGGTTCCGGCATATCTGCCTCGATCATTCTCAATTCTTCATTAATCACTGGAGGAATAACAAGAAGGCCTGTGTCTCCTAATGCTCTGCATTCATGTAAAGCTTTGGTATAAAACTCTAGTGAAGTTGCTTTCTTTTTATTGAAAAGAAAGTAAGTAACAAGAATTTGCAGTGCAGTTATGCTGAGAATTCGCTGTTCCGGGCTGTCACTCATCAAGCAAAGAGCTTCTTGCAAGTTCTGAGCTCCGTCGTCTATTTTGCCTGAAACCAGTTGACAGATGGCTCTGTAACACAGAATTTTTCTTTTATCATCTATCGACAAAGAAAGGCCTTCGGCTTCACGGAGAAGCATCATTGATCTTCCATCTATCCCCCAAGTCACTTCGCCAAATGCCAAGGACACGAGTAACTGATTGTAAAACACGCTCTTTCCAAACGCCTGAGCTTTTTCAGTTGCGTGATCATAAATTTTGTCCATAATATTTCCCTCGCACCAGAAAAGGGAATCTAGAAAAAATTCTGCTTTTGTCAGGACACCAAATGCAACGTCACATGTCTTAGGATCGGAACAGCTCTCCATAAGACTCTGAATAATATTCTGCTTCTCTTCATAGAAATCAATAAATGCCTCCATGGATTGTCCTGTCAAAAACCGTTTATTTAGCTTCTCGAAAAGAGAGACGTAAAATGCAGACAAGCGTGCTTTGGAGTTCAGCATGGCCTCTTTCATTTCATCTTGACCTCTTTCCCTTACAAACGACAGAATCAACTTATGCATTGAAAATGACTCAGGTTTGAAGCTATAGTCGAGGAAGGATTTCTTCCGAAGCCTATGCAAGATTTTCTTGGCCTCCAGAGTTGTTTTTACACCCATGACAGCTGCAGCAACTGAGTGGTTAAAATCTCCAGAAAGAACACTAAGTGATACCAGGGCTTTTTTGTCTGATAGAGAGAGTCTCTGAAAAGAGGATTCAAATAGGAACTTCAATCGCAGATTGCTTGGATAATCTGAATCGTCCAACAGCCCCAACAGGTTATCTTCTATAGATTCCTTGAAGCTAACTAAAAATTGAGTCGGCTGAGCATTATCTTCAGCAATAGAGGAACAGAACAGTTTCATGGCCAAAGGTACGAACCCGCAGAGTTTTGCAATATTCGAGCAGTCAGACGCGGTCGCTTTTGGGAGTAATCCGCCGACTAAGGTTTGAGAGAAGGACTCGTGTAATGGCCCTATTCTTACTGCTTGATGGCCTTCAAAATGCACATTCATAAATTCAAGAGATTCCCTTGTGGTAAGAAGAAATGTTAAATTCTTGAATTGACTAAGAATGACTTCCAGAAGGTTGATGAAATCTTCCTTCACATTGGGTGCTCCACTTTCGAGCAAGTCATCGGCATTGTCAAGAATTATCACAAATTCACCTGAAATATTGCTTAGAAAGAGGGAAAGTTCGTCTTCAAGGGACATCCGCTGAGGCATTTGATCTTTTGTGGAGTGTCTTTTACAGGAGCTCAGAAGCTGCATAGTCAAACCGGCTTTTGAAAGAAGTCGTCGCATAGAGAAGAAGTATACGGGAAGTCCACCAGTTTGGAGTTGATGTCCGACTTCAGTTGCCACAGAAGTCTTACCAAAACCAGGCGAGCCCCATAGGGACACGATCCGGGTACTTTTGGAAGTTAAGTGACGCCTAATGCGTTCACATTCTCTCTGACGGCCAGTGAAGTGTGGAACCCTTGAGGGAAGATTTGATGGTGGAAGGAATGGCTTTGAATCTTAAAAGGAAAAAATTGATGCAATCATGAAAGAGCTAAATGTCGGTAGTTTGAGGAGCAAAAAAAAATAATGATCATTAAAAAAAAGGGTACATTTTACTGTCACACTAAAAATCTAGAAAATCAAGTTTTATGGATACAGCGTCAATTATGAGCTTGCTGCTTTTTCCGTGAAGTTATAATTTGAACAACATCCTACATGAGTCACAATGCCGGTAAATAAAGTGGGTGCAGTTTATTTCTTGCACAAATTGTTTTGAAATAAAAGAAAAAAGATTGTTCAAGGTGCTACTCTGATCATAGAAGAAATTCATCTCAGGGAAGAAGAGAGGATTTTTGAGACATGTACAAAGCATTTTTGCAAAAACTGGAAGTTACTCCGTTGAGCTATTGCTACCTTCAAAGTACAGAGTAAAAACACTGCTGTCACTTTTGTTTTTCCTTGCCAAGGCAGTGCTTACAAGACTGTGCCACAATGCAGTTTTTCATCAGTTTATACCTGTTTTATCTTGATCCTTCTTCATTTTCAAAGCGAGTTTATCTACTTTTTCCCCTATAGCATTCCCCTGTGCTACTAATATTTCGACACCTGATGTTACTTCCTCGAGACACTCGATATATGATCTGATCTCCTGTCTAAGATGTTCCTCCAATCTGCGAACTTGTTTAGTGGGAAAGTCAGACTCTGTCAATCCACCGATGACATCAGTGGGATCTGTTATGATACCGAGAGCTTTGAACGCTACTTTAGCGAGCTGCACGTATTGGTCAAAGGTTGGTTTATCAATCTCTGACCTGTCTGAGTGACAAAGCGAGTTTCGTAAACGTCGAAGCTGATCAATCGCGAGAGCGAAGGTTTCGGCTTTATTTCCACATGGACTCACAACAGATGGATGGAACATTTTTGCCCCGTTCAACTATTACTAGCAAAATACAGATTAAAAACGCTGCTGTCTCTTTTGTTCCTCCCTGCCAAAGTAAAGCTTATAGGAATCTGCCACAATGCATCTTACTGTTAAGTTACTTAAGTTACTGATTGAAATCAGTTTATACCTGTTTGAGTTTGATCCATCTTAAGTTTCAAATCATCTATTTTTCCCTCCAACACAGCGATAGCATTCCCCTGTGCTACTAATTTGTCGACACCTGACTGCACCTCTTCGAGACACTCGATATATGATCTGGTCTCCTGTCTGAAACTTTCTTCCAATTTGCGAACTTCTTTCGTGGGAAAGTCAGACTCTGTCAATCCACCGATGGCATCAATGGGATCTGTCATGATACCAAGAGCTTTGAATGCTTCTTTAGCGAGCTGCACGTATTGGTCAAAGGTTGGTTTATCAATCTCTGACTTGTCTGAGTGACAAAGCGAGTTTCGTAAAAGTCGAAGCTGATCAATCGCGAGAGCGAAGGTTTCGGCTGTATTTCCACTTGGACTCGCAACAGATGGATGGAACTTTCCAAGAGGCACTTTGTGGTGCTTTATGTACAGTTCACCAAGTGTCTTGTAATGACCTTTGCTATCTGGCATAGCGAAAGACCTTGCATAGATGGTGGCCTGGAACAGAGCGGTACAATCCCATTCTTCATAGGAGATGTGTGTGGGAACTTTAGTTTTTCCACCCTCTTCAGCGAGAAACAAATTTCTTACTACCATGGAGTTATCCCACAGTTGATACCCTGAACGATGTCCATATCTGTTGTCCCACATGGATTTGAACGTCTGACGCAAAGCAGTGGCGAACTCATTAAGTACAACTGAGGCAAATTTGAAGTAATTCAGCTGCTCGTTTGTAAAAGGCTGTAGAGACATACTCGGCGTGAGCTCTGGAGATAGCTATCTTCGACCAAAATCCTGAAAGAGATTCAATTCGTTCAAGCATACAGACGTCTTAGGTGAGATTAAACAGCGATTGCTGAATGTGAGGGGAAAAGGAAAAAGCTCTTTTACCATGTAATTCTCGTTTAAATAAATACTTACCGGTAATAGCACATGCACACTGGCTCTATTAATTGTGCATGACGGCATGGATACGAAAAGTGGCTACACAGCTAAATTAACTCGAAACAAATTGAAAACTCATCTCTACTTTATTTTAGAATATAAATGTACGCTTAGAATCTACTTTCTGTTTGGATGCCAAGTACCAACACTTTGTAATTAACGCTAAATATTCCCCTCTCGAGGTTCAAATGTTGTATCTCAATAAAATGCGGAAACCGAGAAATCGAAGACTGTGACGTCACAAAATGAATGTGCATCTTAGAACTTAGAGTCTTTCACTTCGATAAGCTCGGTATAGCGTCAAAACCTAGTTTTTTTTTCAGACCTCAACTCCACTTCATTGAAACAAACTTTCCTTTGTCAACAAACAGTTTGAAGTAATTTCATGTCTAATATGATACTTTCACAGTATTTTGATTTACATGTTTATGAAATTTCAAAACTCTTTCAACTGCAACTCGAAATTTACCCGGAGAGTGGTTGTGTTATGACTTGTAATTCATACCTCCCGGAAATTTCAAACTCTCAATATGCTAAATGCCAATGCAATGAAGAATTCATTGTTCTCGAGAAATGTGGCGCGATGTTTACAGGTCGAACACACCTCAGCAAGGGAAATTCGCCTTTTAATGTGGACGATACACTCGGAATTCCTCAATTTTGGTTTTTAAATAAACATGGTCACCCTGAAAAATGCTTTTCAAAACACGCAATAGAGCAGGAACGACTTCTTTTTCGTCCATAGCGCTTACCTAACGCTTACTTCTGCTTGTTTGAAAGATGCAAAAAAAAAAAAAAAAGACCTACTAGACAAATCGCAAACACGCCTGCTCTTAAAAATTCCCTGATTTAGTCGGCAGAAATAACAATTACTTTCCTTAATCTTACTTAATCTAGAGCAGAAAATTAAAAGCCTGGTTTAAATATAATATGAAAAGGTATGTAGCCATCTGTGACTGATAGCATTCTGGATTGGTTATTATTCGTGAAGATGAGAAGTGATCTGGTAACTAAAAATAACTGTGTGTAAATGATAGGTACCATGAAACTGAACCCCTCTCTTGTTCCTCTTTAATACAAGCAATTATCTTGTTGTAAAGGCATAGGGTAAAATATGAAAAACCAATTAAACCAGTAGTGTTTACTATTACAACCACCTCCCACCCCTCCCTGCGTAGAAATAGTCCGTCTCTCGCCCCTCTCTGGGAAATAACACTCTGTGTCCCCCCCCCTTCCCTCACCACTGATAGACTTCATCCCACCCCTCCATCAATACTAATGGTGTGCTTCCCTCTTTAAAATGGTCCAAAAAATGGTCCAAAAAATAGTCCAGTCCAAATTTTACCCCATGTCTGTTGTAAATGTACTCTGAATGAGCACTGTCAAATAATGGGACATCTTATATGGTCAATTTGACTTTTATATGGTCTTTTAGTCTTATTAACTGAGTTGATAACGTAAATTGGCCACCATCAATAGTTTCAAAGCTGACGCTTCGAGCGTTAGCCCTTCGTCAGAGCGACTGGAGAAATTATGGGTTCAGTGTGTGTTTGCCGTATTTACTCGATTTAAACGCCACTCTCGAGAGTTCATGGTTCTCGAGAAATGTGGCGTGATGTTTACAGGTCAAACACGCCTTAGAAAGGGAAATTTCCCTTTTAATCTGGGCAATACACTCAGCATTGTTCAATTTCCGTTTTGCAATAAACATGGCCACTCTGAATGATGCTTTTCACGCGATAGAGCAGAAACGACTTCTTTTTCGTCCATAGCGCTCACCTAACGCTTACTTGTGCTTGCTTAACAGATGCACACACAAAAAAAGAGACCAGACGACTGAAAAAAACACGCCTGCACGCCCTACAAAATTCCCAGACTTAGTCCTGACAAAAATAACAATTACTTTCCTTAACCTTACATCAGATCTAAAGAAGACAATTGAAAGCTTGGTTTAAATATAATCTGGAAAGGCCGGTCTGTAGCCATCTGTGACTGATAGCATTCTGGATTGGTTATTATTCTTTACGATGAGAAATGATATGGTTACTAAATATAACTCAGTACCCCGCTCTTGATCCTCTTTAAACGGTAACTGACAGCGAAAAGTAACTTTTTCGGAATACTGCCCTTTTTGTGGTCTTTGTACCTTGTTAATAGCCTAGATTTTGAATTATCTTTAACGTTTGTGACAGATACAGCGCTGATAACTGTTCATTTTGGTGAAATTAATCACACAACTTGTGTTCTCTATTTCTTAATTCAACATCGTGATAAAAATTTTTACTGTACTGATTCTTTTATTACAAGGTGTCAATGTGGAAACTACCGGCAATCAATGCAGAGGGAGGAAATTCAAGAAATAGTTGCAGTGAAAAATAAAAGTTTAAGACTGTTACAGAGGAACAGCTGCAAGCAAAAATCCTGGTGTTTTCCGTTCACACTGTAAATTTCAAGGCGGCTAAGAGTGGTAAAGTTTTGGATAAATTGAGCGTGAATATATCTATATATGTGTGTTTTTTTTTCTTTCTTCTTTTAAAGTTCAGGTCATAATTTGAGAAACATTACGTGCTTGTTATTTCCGTTGCACGATTGTGCCACTGAATCGGTTCGTTTATTTTTTATTTTCTTAACCAAGAAAGTACGTTTTATACTGTGGGTGCTAGGTAGTCTCACCACATTTGCCTATCGGCTTGTTAATTTACGATAAGCGCGCTTGAGTAACTTACTGTTCACTCGGCTGACACTAGTACTTTTTTGAAACTAGTAACCTTGCAGACAAGATTTATTTCATCATGTTTTCCGGTCGCAAATGCGAAACAATGCTCGCTAAGGACGCTTAAAACAAGACCTTGGAAGTCATACTTAGGGACACGTATGTGCTACATATGCTGTTTAATGTTAGTTGTAATCTTCCCTGCAGAAGTCTCAGCTAGTGACGAAACGCGTCGGAAGGAGTAGACAAAAAGTTACAATACCAAAAAGTCTTTCTTTGTGCTGCTCGCTGGTCGCGGTTAAAAAAATGTAAAGAAAGAATCCATCTTGTACATTTCCGGAGCGTAGAAGAAGAGCTTCGTTCACGAAGCCCGATCAAAACTTCCCGAAATTCGTGAAACAACACTTTGTGCTTATGTCACGCTCACCCCAGAACCGATGGGCCTGTGGTCACAGTGATGTACACCGGACAAAATCTTAAGTTGAATGCGTTTCGGCTTGGACTTAAAAATATTTCTTTAAATAACAGACTCGATAATGGTCAAGAGCAAAAAATATAATTTTTTTTACCGCTGTTTGGCATGGCATGCAATTTATCTGTGGCTCTAAATACAGATACGCGATCCGTCGCGTTTCGATAATTCAACCTTTTTAGAGAAGAGTATATTGTTCTTCACTTTGTATTTAAGTCTCTAAATGGTGGCTTGTACCAAAATGGAATAAAATCTTTTCTTTTTCTGTTCGGTAACAGCTGGACATCAAGGGCGTATCATTTCACAAGACCTTGATCGGAACGTTTTCAAAATGGCCGTTGATTAAGCGTTAAAAAAAAAATCGGTAGGAAATTAGGTTTTTCCAATATATCGTTTATTTGCTCATTTAGGATTCTTTAACCAAAGAGGAATTTATAGGGACAAAAAAAGGGGGAAATGTTGCCGTCAGTTACCCTATGACCTATGACACGAACTTTTTCTTGTATTTTCTGGTTGATAGTTGCATTTAAAGTTCTAAATAATCAACCTTAGCGCCTAGCGAGTCCTCTTTGGCCACTTTTTTGCGCATTGAAAGTACGATTTTGTTCGAGTGGTATTTGGATTCTTTGTGACATTTTGCCACCGGCCAGAAGACGTTCACGAAGCGAATGAACTGAACGAAATTTACTGACATTGTAAAGTCAGGCAAAAGAGGTTTTCAATTGAAAATCAATACTTGCATATTGAATTGTGAATTAGTGATTGTCCTATTCACACTAATGTCGTCCAGGAATGCTGTTGAATTGCATACAGTGTGGTAAAAATATTAATGAATGGTTTCTGCACTGTAATGTTTGTGTATTTTCTCCACTGGCATTCAGTATGGCGTCAATGACTCGAAGGTAACCGCAAATAAAAGTATGTTTTCCCTTTTGAATGATGATTGATGCATAAGAATGCCCAAAACTGCTATTGAATGTTGATTAAAATAAAAAAATCGTTATGGAACCTGATTTACGCGCAAATGATCGTTTTTTGTAGCTGGAATATAACGTCACGCAATTGTTCGTCTTTCCACGCAAATGAATGCGTATTTTCTCATAATGAACAACAAAAAGTTTAGTTGGAAAAATTGTTACTCGCCCACCTTGAAATTCAAGTTAGAGCGAGAAATATCTTGATGGCAGACGCACAAACTGATTATCTTAATAATTATTGAATGAACTGCGAGACTGCGACTCGAAATTTATCTAGAGACTGGTTGAGATGTTCAGACTTGTTATTCACACCACACGGAAATTTGAAATACTTATGCAATGAAGAGTTCATTGTTCTCATGAGGTGATGTTTACAGGTCAAATGCACCTTAACAAGGGAAATTTTCCTTATAATCTGGACAATACACAAACAAAACACTGAGCATTGTTAAATTTCTGTTCTGAAATAAACATTGCCACCCTGAACAATGCTCTTCAAAACACGCGACAGAGTAGGAACGACTTTTTTCCGTCCTTAGCGCTCACCTAACGCTTACTTCTGCCTGCTTGAAAAATGTTTAAAAAAATCAGACTAGACAACTCACAAACACGCCTGCTCTTTAAAATTCCCTGACTTAGTCTTGAC